AGTCCCAGCTACTTGGGAGGCGGAGGCAGGAGACTCGCTTGAGCCCAGGAGTTGGAGGTTGCTGTGAGCTGTGATACCACAGCACTCTACCCAGTGTGACAGCCTGAGGCTGTCTCAAATATATATATATGTATATAAATGAATAAATAAATAAACGTCGTACTATCTTCTAAGTTGTTTATCCATGGAGATCAGAATATCTGAACACTCCTGTATATTTAGGAACAAAATAGGAGAACAAAGCAGTTAATGTACACAATTTACTCAATTATCCACCTTTTTGCCTACCTTGTCACCAACTTTATAAGCAGGTGGAGAGGTCATTTTGATATCTGTGATGCTGATTTGAGGTGAATCCTCAATAGGGGGTTTTGGTACAAGGTTCCTATTGGTCTGTATCTGGCTCTCAATTAATTTGATAATCGCATCTGCTCTTTCTTTTGGCATTGGCTTTCCATACCAATTTTCTGCATCTTCAACATCTGTAATGAAACAAATTAAAGACATTCATTATATAAATATTTAAAGAATGCCTATTAGGTCATCTGAAAGACATCCTGATGGAAATGACATTAGGCTAGGACTCACAGGAATAAAACCTGGCAGTGAGGGCCTGGTGGCACTGCAGTCAGAAAGGATAGCCTGCACAAAATCCCTGAGGCTTCTGAGGGGGCCAGTGCCCAAGTGTTGATGAAGAGGAAAAGTGAAGGAGACAAAGCTAGATAGACAGCAGGAGAGACCATGGAGGTTGGAACTCGTGGGGTATGATAAGGAGATTTGAGTTTTATCCAAAGCAAGATGAGAAACAACTGAAGAGTTTGGAGTGGGGAAAGCAACTGAGGAGACCCATTTCAGAAAGATCACTGTGGCAGCAGTGTGGGGACTGACGTGGGAGGATTCCAGCTGTCAGTGGAAAGATCGCTGGTAAAGCTGCTGCAGTCTGGAAGAAACAAAAGGATGTAGCAATGGTCATGGCAGTAGAGATGGGGAAGAGTGGATATGAGATGTGGTCTAGGGGACCAGGTAATATGAGGGGGGGTCCATGAGGGAGAAATGGAGGCAAGGGGCTGGTCTGAGTACAGTGGTGTTTATAAGAAATTAATCATACCCAGTTACAGATTCCTTTGTTCCTTCTCCACTCCCACTGCTACACTTGACTAGCCTTAAAAAAAAGGGGGGGGGGGAAGGGCGACACCTGTGGCTCAGTGGGTAGGGTGCCAGCCCCATATACCAAGGGTGGCAGGTTCAAACCTGGCCCCAGCCAAACTGCAACAAAAAAATAGCCGGGTGTTGTGGTGGGCACCTGTAGTCCCAGCTACTGGGAGGCTGAGGCAAGAGAATTATCTAAGCCCAGGAGTTGAAGTTTGCTGTGAGCTGTGTGATGCCACAGTGCTCTACTGAGGGCAATAAAGTGAGATTCTGTCTCTCCAAAAAAAAAAAAAGGGAAAAAAATGGAAGCAAGGACAATACCCAGGGTTCTGCCAGGACGGTACTGACAAATCTGCCATTTGCCGAACTGGGGGTATCACAGCATGACTGTTTGGGGGCAGAGTCATAGAATTATATTTAAAAAACTCAGGAACCATTGTAACAATCTAAACTTGAGATAAACAACTTTGGATGTCAGCCTTGAAATGTGCAAGGAGTTAGTCCTTCAAACCTTCCTCCTTCCCAGCCCCCAGTTCCATAGCTCTCTTTCCCAGACATGATGCTTTACTGGTTTTCTGTTAAGTTCTTCTAGATACCCCAGACCCAGGCAAGCATGTATGTACATGCATGCTGAATTTTACATGTGGCCATATGCATAGCCCGCTTTTTGCCTCTACTGTGGAGACTGCTCCCTGACAGTCCTCTCATGGACTTTCTTCCTCCCCACTCTCAGGTAGGTAGAAAATCACTGCTCATTTGCCAGGGGTTATAGCTTTTCCTCCCCACCCTAAGTAGACATTGTCAGTGAAGGCAAGAGATGTGCCCCCAGCACACACCACAGCTACCATCACTGTTCACTAAGTCAGTCCTCTGCCTCAGCCAGTTTAAGCCTCCTTCTGCCTCTTCTGTTGTCCAGACATGATTTCTTTTTTGAGACAGAGTCTTGCTATGTTGCCCTCAGTAGGGTGCCATGGCCTCACAGCTCACAGCAACCTCAAATTCTTGGGCTTAAGTGATTCTCTTGCCTCAGCCCCCTAAGTAGCTGGGACTACAGATGACTATCATAACACCCAGCTATTTTTTGGTTGTAGTTGTCATTGTTGTTTGGCACGCCTGGGCTGGATTCGAACGCGCCAGCTCCGGTGCATATGGCTGGTGCCCTAGCTGCTGAGCTACAAGCCCAGACAGATGTTTTTAATCATGAGCAGGAAAAAAACACTTGCTTACTTGGCATGCCACGACCCTTGAAAGTCTTTGCAACCACAGCAGTAGGCTTGTTCTTCACTTGAGTTGCCTGCCAGAATACCTGGCACAGAGCCTCCACATCACGGCCATCCACCACGTAAGTATTCCACCTGCCAACGGAGTAAGAAGCCAGGTTTACAAGAGACAAAGTGGAGTGGGACAGAATAAAGTAAAGCAAAAGAAGATATAGTTACCCAAAGGCTTCACAGCGCTTCTTATAGATCTCTATGCAGTGCTCAGCAGGAAAGGCGCCACTGTGTCCCAGGCGATTCACATCAAAGATTGCCACCAGATTGTCCAGACCATAGTAGGAAGCGAAGGCCAATGCCTCCCAGACGGAGCCTTCTGAGGACTCGCCATCTCCCATGAGGCAGAATACCCGGTAGCTAGAGCAAGACAAGAGGTGTTGACAACCTTCTTTTGGGCTAAGGGTTCATCTGGGCCACTCAGGTGAATGCATTTCAGGAAGAGAAACAAAGGAACAGCCGGGAGAAGCTGCTTTAGATCACCAGGTTCCTAACACTATTTTCCTCATCAACTCTGCCCAGACTCAGCAGCTGAGGAGACACAGCTTTAAAAGCTTGGGCCTCATGAGATGATCCTTGCCTTCAGCTGCCTCTCCCTGTCTAGCCATGAGGCTGTCATTAAGGTTTTTTTTTTTTTTTAAACAAAGACAGAGTCTCACTCTGTTGTGCCCTCAGCAGAGGGCTGTGGCGTCACAGCTCATAGCAACCTTAAACTCCTAGGCTCAAGTGATCTTGCCTCCACCTCCTAAGTAGCTGGGACTATAGGCACCTGCTACAACACTTGGCTGTTTTCAGAGATGGAGTCTTGCTCTTGCTCATTCTGGCCTTAAACTCATGAGCTCAGGCTATCCACCCACCTTGGCCTCCCAGAGTGCTAGAATTACAGGTGTGAGCCACCACGCCTGGCCTGCTATGGTTAGGTTTTCCTGCCTCTTCTGATCTATAGGCATGATGGTAAGAGAGAAATGGGAAGAAAGCAGCCCCTTCAATACTCTAAACCAGGGGTCCTCAAACTTTTTAAACAGGGGGCCAGTTCACTGTCCCTCAGACCATTGGAGGGCCAGACTATGGGCCCAGGATGAGTCAGCTGCTAAGCAGGACAGGCAGCAGCAGCAAAAACACCCGGCAGCCTGGATAAATGTCCTTGGCCTGCAGGCCGTAATTTGAGGACCCCTGCAAACCATTCACGCACACTGTCTTGTATTTGTCCAATTTCAAGTTCCATTTTAAAGCACTGCTACCTTTTATTTCTTATCTTAACAATTTATTTGCAATAATCACTACATTCTACACCTCAGTATCACATATTCTGCTATAAATATTAAACTTTTTCGGCTTGGCACCTGTAGCTCAAGTGGCTAAGGCGCTAGCCACATACACCTAAGGTGATGGGTTCAAATCCAGTCTGGGCCCGCCAAACAACAATGATGGCTGCAACCAAAAAATAGCTGGGCGTTGTGGTCCCAGCTACTTGGGAGGCAGAGGCAGGAGACTCGCTTGAGCCCAGGAGTTGGAGGTTGCTGTGAGCTGTGATGCCACGGCACTCTACCCAGGGGGACAGCTTGAGGCTCTGTCTCAAAAAACAAACAAATAAACAAACAAAAAAAACTTTTTCACACAACAACATGAACATTTATCTTCTGTACTCCACTAAAGTGTTGGAAATGTTTTAGGAAGTTTTTAATCCTAAGAACTAGTGAGGCAATAATGGATGAATTTTTTTGAGACAGAGTTTTACTTTGTTGCCGTTGGTAGAGTGCCCTGGCATCATAGCTCACAGCAACCTCAAACTCTTGGGCTTAAGCCATTCTTTTGTCTCAGTCTCCCAAGTAGCTGGGACTATAGGCACCTGCCACAATGCCTGGATTTGTTTTCTTTTTAGAGATGGGGTCTGGCACTTGCTCAGGCTGGTCTCAAACCTGTGAGCTCAGGCAATCCACCTGCCTTGGCCTCCCAGAGTGCTAGAAGTATAGGCATGAGTACTGCACCTGGCCAATAATAGATGAATTTTAACAGACTCACAGGAAATAGAATAGGGTGGCTGCAGAAGCAGTGGGGAAAGCACAGTAAAGTCCTTCCAGAGGGCCTGCCATGGGATGAAATGGGGATGGCCCTTTAGGGCTTTTCTCTACCCCAGGGAGCTAGGTGGCTGTCCCAAGACCTTCAGAAAGGAGCATGAGGCAGGGTAGTTGAGTAGTTTTGGGGTGAGCACCTTACCTGGCCTTGTCAAAGTACTTGCCAGTATATGCCATCCCGCATGCAGCCCCCAGTCCCTGACCAAACCATCCTGTTGCCACATCAACAAACGACAGTCTCTGTAAAGAAAGAACCAAATGAACCTAGGCAGAGTTGTAGGACACAGGTATCAGGTCAACTTCCATCCCAGCAGGACAGCCACCCCCACCCCTCTAGTGCTGGGGGAATTCTTCTTTACCACACCCACAAGTTTCAGATCAGTGTTCCAGGTGGACTATGGGTCAAGAATGGGGCCTGGTCTACACTAGAAACAGGGTTGACGAAGATGATGAAGACCTCCATCATTCCTGTCTAGGGAGCCATAGTGTGGTGAGCATAACTGGAGCTTTGGGAACCCACAGGAGGGAGCCTGAGTATAAAGTAGAAAACACAAGGCATGATCTTGCCTTTTATTTTTTTTGAGACAGAGTCTCAAGCTTCACCCTGGGTAGAGTGCCATGGTGTCATAGCTTACAACCACCTCTAACTCTTGGGCTCAAGCGATCCTCTTGTTTCAGTTTTTCTATTTTTAGTGAAGACGGGATCTCGCTTTTTGCTCAGGCTGGTCTTGAACCTGTGAGCTCAAGCAATCCACCAGCCTCAGACTATCCTAGAGTGCTAGGATTAAAGGTGTGAGCCACCACATCCAGCTTATTCTTGCTTTTTATTATTTATTTTTTATCATTGGGGATTCATTGAGGGTACAGAGAACCAGGTTATGTTGACTGCATGTTAGGTAAAGTCCCTCTGATTCTTGTATTTTTCACAAAGCCTTTTTTTTCCAGCCATGAACCAGTCAGATGCTGAATCTTTTGAAGAATTCAGATTCTTAGAATGACTTTCCACTATCACTCCACTCCCCCTGCAACATCCTATTTGTATGCATAGGGTTGTTATCATTGTCTCAAGAAGAGAATGTAGCCTTCTGAGGTCCAAAAGACTGTGCCAAAGGGGTGCTGTAATGATAGGAGAGGCTCCAGTTCTAAGCTTCCACACACACTGTATTTATTCAACAGCTTCTGCTGCCATTACAGAGGCCCTTGCCTTCCTAGCCTCCTTGCCTCCTCCACAGTTATTCTTAAACCAGCCACCAGGGGGAACTGTTCATCATGTCTGTTAACTGTCCCATGTCTTCCTATCTCCTGCCAAGCAGAGCTCAACTTGTACTAGCTGCCCACTCCAGCCCCCATCACCTCCAAATCCCCTTCCCATTGCTCCAGCACCCTAGCCTCAGTGCCTTGAGCACAATGGACAGAGGCTTGCCTCTGGGCCTCAGCACTTGGAGCTTCTTCTACCTGAGTGCTCGTGCCTAGATATTGCAAAGCTCATACTGTTTGACCACTTCCAAATCTCTGCTCAAAGGTCAGTATCAGTGGCCAGGCTTGGTGGATTGCCTGAGCTCAGGAGTTCAAGACCAGCCTGAGCTAGAGTGAGACTCCATCTCTAAAAATAACCAGGTATTGTGGTGAGTACCTGTAGTACCAGCTACTTGGGAGGCTGAGGCAAGAGGACTGCTTGTACCCAAGAGTTTGAGGTTGCTGTGAGCTATGATGCCACAGCATACCACCACTCTACTGAGGGCAACAAAGTGAGACTGTCTCAAAAAAAAAAAAAAAAAAAAAAAAAAGAAAAACAAAAAAACACAACTCCCCCAAAGAAACAAAGGTCAGCATCAAGATCTTTCTAGATCATTCTGTTACAACTAGTGCCTCCTACCCCCTCTACTTCATTTGATTCCAAATGCTATCCATTCACAAGTTTGTTTCCTGTCTGTCCACATCCTCTGTCCAATCAGCTCCTCTCAAGTAGAGACTGGTGTGTCCACTGCTATCACCAATGAGTGAAAAGAGCTTGTCATTCTCCATCTCTCACCCTTCTTGCTTCCTGCCCTGGCCATCTTCCTGGGTTCTTTTCAACATCCCTGGCATTCTCCACATGCTTTATGCCCTAACTTCCTTTCAGTTCTGCATCTTAAGCCTAGTAGAACTGTCCCATTGAAGTCTCTTCTGGCCAAGTCTCTAGTTCCATCTTTCTCCCCATGTCACCTATCTCACTCCTGTAACAGGCTCTGGCTCCCAGTTGTCTTGTATGCTCTTGGAGTCCCTATAATACCAAGTACTGAGCCTGGGCTCAGCACTTAAATCAGCTCTTGTCTCCCCCATTGTGAAGCATGGGGCAAGCAAGCTCACCTTCTAAAGGCTTCACTTTATTGGGGCAAGAACCTCCTTTAGGTGGCAGGGGGCTGTAAGGATAGACTGAGAAGATTGGAGAGGATCAGAATGAGGCTTGGCATGGTGGAAGTGCTCCTGCATAAGTTGCCTTCTTTCTCCCAAGAACATATATGCTGCTGGGGACACAGGGAAGTATTACAAGCACCCCAAACAAAGACTTCTCTTCCAGATGATACCTCTCGTCTTTGTCCTAGCATAAAGTATGCTTCAAGAACAAGTTTAAAAAGGTTTTCTGCTTGCTACCCATGCCTCCTTAGCTGACAAAAACAAAAAGAGCTGATAAAACAAAAACAAAGGCCTAGGTGGGGGGCATGGGGATCACAGCCCCACCCCAGGAAGTCTGCAGCATGGTGACAGCTTTAAGAGAATCCAGGAATCTGACATCACCAGGCCTTAGCAGTCCTCCCTAATGTGGACCACATTTACTTCATCTCTCTTTTTATACACACATACATTCTATTTATTTTGTCAAACTATTTTAGGTTATGTTTCTGACATGAAGATAAGAGTTACAGTTATGTCCCCTAGGGTATTCCAGCCATGCCCACAGTTTAATTTTGTCTTTAAACTACTTCCTGCTGCTTTAATCTTTTTAATTTTTAAAATGTATTTTAAAAAATTAAAAAATCTTTCTTTGTAATTATTCTGTGTACATGACAGTTATATTTATAGGGCATGAGATGTTTTGATACAGGTATACAATGAGAATTAATCAAATCAGGGTAACTGGGGTATCCATCACTTCAGGCATTTATCATTCCTTTGTTAGAAACATTCCAATTCCACTCTTTTATTTTAAAGCTCACCTTAACTTATTGTTATCATAATCTCTTTGCTATGCTCTCAAACACTGCCCATGCTATCCTGCTGTGCTGCGCTCAATAAACATCCCCCATGGCCCAACCTGGTGGTTCTGTTTGTATGTGGCACTGCACAGTCCGGTTTAGAGTGATCTGCTTCAGGACACAGCCAATTTTTAGATGGCATCGAATCAGCAACACATTCTCAAACCCGCCAGCCCCAATGTATGTGGCCGGTGCCCTAGCTGCTGAGATACAGGCGCCTAGCCATACTGACTTTGTTTTTAAGGTTCCTTTTCTTTCCTGTCCCCTAACATCCTGAAGTAGCTGGTATTAGAGTCTGATGAGACAGTACCCCATCAGTTTCAGGCCACATCTGCAGAAAAATGGAAGGTCTCCATTTAACCAACAGGGGCCACACTTACTTTCCCTCAGGCTCAGCAAGTTTGATCCACTGAGGTGGCCCGCCTCTGTCCAGGTGGCAGAGGATGGTTGTAGCATAACACTGGGGGGTGGGGGGATTCAGAGTAAGGTGGGGTGGGGCAATGTACCACCAAAGGAAAGGAAGCCCACCATGGCCACAAACCACCCTTCCAGCTATGTAAGCCACATGGCTTCAAAGGTCCTTACTGATACCTTTTAGATCTTTACAAAGCAAAAAAGGAAGAACCAAAATGACAGAGTCCATTCTAGGGCTTGTTTACAGGGCAGCTTTTTAAAAAGCACTTAAGCAGCAAGCAGCCCTGCTCCCCTGCTGGCATACCTTTGACAGGATGAATCGGTCATTGTCTGGGCTCTCCGGGTCAGACTGTTTATACCTCATTGTGTGGAAGAACAGCACAGACATGATCTCGGCAGCACTGCTACATGAGGTGGGGTGGCTGAAAGGCAGGCAGGACACAGGTAATTTCAAATAGGCAATTGACTTCCCAGGTACTCAGTACATGGTCTCCTGAGCCCAGAAGCAGCAGTCAAGGGTAATGGGTGCAGGGTCACAACCTCAGCTCACACCTTGAAAGGACACTTTAAACCACAGTAACCTCATAACCTCTCCCCTATACACGGCAAGATGCTCTGAGACCAGCTCCTTCCTATCAATGCAGCACCATGCATTTGGGGCAAGCTCATCTCCTGACCCTAACTTTAGTATTCTTCCACTAGTTTGAATTTATCTATCATGTTTATATTGGCTGAGAAAATCTCAAAAGCATTGCTAGAAATGCACCTAAAATGCATTTCTTTTAAAAAGTGAATGGTGGCTGGGCATGGTGGCTCACACCTGTAACCCCAGCACTCTGGAAGGCTGAAGCAGGTGGACTGCTTGAGCTCAGGAGTTTAAGACCAGTCTGAGCAAGAATGAGAACCCTATCTCTTAAAAAAAAAACAAAAAAAAAACTAAACAGGTGTTGTGGCAGGTGCCTGTAGTCCCAGCTACTCAGAGGCTGAGGCAGGAGGATCACTTGAGCAAGAGTTTGAGGCTGCTAATAGCTATGAAGCCACCACATTCTACTCAGGGTGACAAGACTGAGATTCTGCCTCAGGAAAAAAAAAAAAAAACACCATGAATGGTAAAAGACTGAGACATTTCTCAAGGTTAATTAACTCAGGCCCTTTCTGAACACTGCCCAAATAAATGCTGCTCTTAGAAATCAGCCTGTATTTGAGTCCAGCCAGTCCCTAATTAATTAAAAAGAGGGAGAGGACAGGACAAAACAAACTACCTAAATCCTGCTCCAACTGTTAGAAAAATAAGATTTTAGGCCCAATTCATTCTCATTAATAATCCTGTTTCAAATTTCACAATAAAGAAAATGAATGAGGCTTGGCGCCTGTGGCTCAAGTGGCTAAGGCACCAGCCACATACACCTAAGGTGGTGGGTTTGAATCCAGCCTGGGCCTGCCAAACAACAATGACAGCTACAAACAAAAATAGCCAGGCCTTGTGGCAGGCGCCTGTGGTCCCACCTACTTGGGAAGCTGAGGCAGGAGACTTGCTTGAGCCCAGGAGTTGGAGGTTGCTGTGAGCTGTGATGCCATAGCACTCTACCCAGGGGGACAG